TGATCACAAAGAAACCATTTTTATCAATTTTGAATTGTAGATTGTAACATTCTAATTTATATTCTCTATTTACACAGATTTGGGATGAAATTTTGAAAGAGTCTTTTCTATGCCTGGCTTCAGGTGGTCTCTATAAAAAGCAAAATCAACAAAATCCAAAAAAGCAAAATCGTAAGAGCACAAAAGCATAAAAAGCGTGCAAGCATCAAAAGCATACAAGCACAAAAATATCAAAGTATAAGAACCACAAATAGCATAAAAACAGGAATAAATTTGAAACAACAAGGACATTGTCTTGGACGTGACTGGCTGCACTGTGAAACATAAGTCTGAGGTGGGTACTGCTGGAGACTGCCAGAATCCCAGCTCTCAAGAATCAGAAGAGTACGTTATGGTGGAATCGCCTGGTGGGCGAAGTCTTTATAGAAAACGGCTCAGGCGAAGCTCTCTGACTTACAAAGACAGGCTTGACCTACCATCAGTGGTGTAATCAGTATCACACTATCAGCAGCCATGGAGATACTTCTAGATCTACCTTATCTCCACATTTTACTGGGGAGAGAGGCTAGATGGTCTGCATATAGACTTGTGCACGTTGCCAATTGTACAAATCAATTTAATGCAGAGTGCAACAGCCTGTTGGTTGACACTGGAAGTCACAGCATTCTGGAAATGACCTCTGACTTTATGCCTCCAACTGTCAACTACGAACTGCCTCCTTATAAAGTACTGTTCCCGAGTAGAGAGGACTGGATCCTCCGGGAGAAGGAAATGACCAGTTAGTTGTTGGTTCACACATGCATCAAAAACACCTTCCGGTTCTGGTGCAGGTGTTTTCAGTCGCAGACCCAGGACAGAGACAGCATCCTGCCTAAGAACCTATGCGACTGTATTTCAAATGAAAATGTACGCTATTGAATTGTGTGCGGAGAGATTGGAAGAATTCAACCTCATACATAAGTCAATAAAAATATTCTCGGACAGTCAAGCAGCGTAGGAAACTCTTGGCACCTACCGAGCAACGTATAAATTGGTAGCAAATTGCCATAAACGACTCTCCTCGATAGGAAGACTTAACAGATTGTCTCTGGTCTGGATTTCTGGCCATACTGGCCTGGAAGGCAATGAAGCTGCTGAATCCCCTGCAAAGGAGGGTGCTGAGCAGCTTCATCGGACCAGAACCTGTCATTGTCATCGCTTTAGGCTTTGCCAAACAAACATCGAACACCTTGATGGCAAGAAGATATATGGACTTCTGGCAGAATCTTCCAGGATTGGCTCACACTGAGGCGTTTATTCACCCTTCGAAGCTCAATACCAAACAGTTGTTAGACTACTGTAGGGATGAACTACGATATCTAACAGGCATTCTTACAGTAAGGGAAGTCTTATTAAAGTGAAACTAAGAGGTCAGTTTCTATTGTAGAGCACAACAAAAACATCCTGCGTTCAGTTTTTTAGAAATCGGCAGAGCCGTACTCTCACCATCTGACCTGAAAGACCACCCACCATACAAACTAATCGGCTTCGTTAAGAAGCTGGGTTTATTTGTTCGAGTGTGAATAGGTGTAACCCACAATAAACCCTTGCGGGTTGCAGTGGAGGATCGAATAGACCCATTCACTTTGGACCTAACCTAACGTTGAGTTTTCCAATGGTTTCTGGAAATAGGATTTCGATCAGAATTTGTAAGGTTTAGTACATTCAACCCTAGAGTGAGACCCTTTATTTTGTTACTTTTCCTATATTGAAGCAACCATTGCAAAGAGTAGAAAATTTCAGAACCTTGACACTCAGATTTCTTTATCCAGTGACAATTTATGTTCAATAGTGATAATTTAGTATTTTCATTCATTCATTTCAAGGATATGGTTGCAAGTGAGGTGTATTCCTTGTTTTATTGGTATTCTTGAAGTGTCTACTATCTTGATATGACTTAGTTGGTCTACAGTGTTCAAAAGTGGTAGTGTATTTCTGTAAAAATTTCTGTGGATATCATCCGAATAAGAGCTTCCAATTTGGTAACCCTTTTCACCACATATAATTGAATTTCTATAAAAAATCAAGAACCGACCTGCGCCCTTGCCTTGGCAATTCAAGAGCTAGTCATTCTAATTTGGTACATCAAGAAACGAGTAAGATGCTTGTACAAACTCACCTTTTTACAGTAGTTCAGTATATCCATTTTATCTTTGAAGCATGTCGCCTTCGAATAAAGGTCAGACACCCATTCGCCCTGCTCGGTCATGTATTTCTGATGGTAGGCCTCTTGGCCGTGGATCCCTGAGTCACACAACATGGCTACTTGAGGTTCGAAATGGGAAACTGCCCCACTACTTCCTGGGCCACTACTGTCCTGGAGACCCTGTAACGGAATATAATAGTGTGAAACAATCCTGTTGATTAGTTTCTGAATTGTTATCGTTTCATTTAATCGGCGGTGTGAATATTTGGTTCAATTTAGTTCCCGTAGGGGCTGTAATTGTTTCAGATGAAAATTACCTCCCGTTTTTGAAAATACCATCTGAAAATTGGATCAAAGTGAAATGGATGTAGAAGTTGATTGAAAATAAATTTCAATTTGTGGTCTTGTATAAGACTTACGTTTGAGAAAGTGATATAAGAGCGTTCTAATGATTATTTTCAAAATATTAAACAAAAATCATTTTTCTGTATATCAGAGGTTTTTATCGACCTTTCTAGGGATTTTCACCTTCCACATCTGAATAGAGTTCTGCATTATTTTTATTTTCATATTGTGTAAGGTCGATAAAAAAATCTTTTCAGATGTTCAATGTATTTGCTGAAACCATTTATATAGAAATCATCAAGATAGATGTATTACAAAACGTATTCAAGATAGCTTTTTGGTATTCTATTTCTCCACCTATTGGAAACTTCCAAAGGAAGAAAGAAAGAAAGCAATTACGTTTGAAATAAACTCTTCAAAAATATTTAGAGAGAGAACAAACAAATGAATAGTTATATTAAAGAAGAAAAAAATCATATAATACCAATTAATATCTGGAATGTTTTCTATAGGACAGTAATGACATGATTAAGAATAAAGTTATTTCACTACAATTACAAGAAGTCTTGTCTTTTTTAATTTTTTAGTGCCTTGTTATTTAGACATGAGTTTACCAAAAGGACAAGGAAGATGAGATGTGATTATTGATAAATTATTATATATTTGCAAATTCAACTACTTGCATTTCATTTCTACGAAGGTAATCCGAAAAGTTTCAGCTCTAACACCAACTTTATTTAACCTTACACATTTTCCGAGAATACTTTCCAGTTTTCTGTCTGGGACTCCATTTGTTCATACATGCATACAAAATATCTGACTCATTTTATTTAAAAAAAAATTGTAAGTGGCAGGCCTGAGGGTTGAGAAAATAAAATATAATATTATATTATAAAAAAATGCAGCAATAAATGGTAATAAAACTCAGCAACATAAAGCTGATCTCAATGCTTCGAATTATGAATTTGATGAGAAAAAAACTTTCACACAAAGAAACTTTCAAACTGCTTAACTTCAGAAAAATATATTGTTTATAAAGAAACAGTGAGAAACACAATATACTTATTTTTTATAATTCGTTGATTTCATCATTATTTTAATTGATAATATTTATTTTTTTCACTGTTTTGAAGTTTTGAATGACTTCTGCAAATTCAAATTATTTTACCATTCATTAAATTTACATGAAAAGGTTCATGACTAATACAAATGTAGTTTGACTATTCATGCTGTGGTAAATTATTGTCATTTATAATGAACTAGCATACTTTGCATGAGAAAAAAAAATTGGCTTCGAAATGGAAAATTATCAACCGACACAGGCTCGTTCTTGAACTACCCCAAATGCTCACCATGAATGCTGACCTTAAACCAGGAATTTGACATTCAAGAAAAGGATGGGATGAGAAACTAGATGCAGATGTGGCGCAAAAATGGTAAGATGGATTAAAAAACAAAAAAATTGAATTCTAAGATGTAACGATTTGAATTCTCAATATGCTTTCCCAAACTGTACAACATGCTTACCTCAAATGTTGGCAGAAAACCATTAACGTAAAGTTTGAATGAAACATTGTCGACCAGCCTTTAGTCAGACTTATGTTCGGGTAAAAAGAAAATGGAGTTACAGTTACTCATATTTTACTTTCACTTAAATGAAACCAAAAATTTCTATAATGATTATGGAATTGCATTTTAAGGTTCTGAAGCATGTTTCCACTTGGGTTTTTCTTAAAAAGTCTAGCAGCCAAAGATATCTTTGTCATTTTGAAAGATCATCCACTTTCTGACACTTGAAGAAATTTTCATGTTACTAAATTATTACACTTCTTAAAGTAGGAGTTTAGACAACTCAATGAATCCGGTTTTATAATGTTAATCATCTTTCCAATAGATTTAGTAGTAATAAACGGTTTAATAACGATTCAAAAATGCTGTTTTCAATGGCATTAACATTAGTTTTAGCAACATTGGTTGTTAGAAATTCTCCTTTAGGATGTGTGCTGTGTAAACATGGTCTGTCACTTCCAATAGATAGATAAAGATGAAGACGGAAATGATATTGCATTTTTTCAAATGAAAGATCTTACCTTTTGGAGTACCCTCGTATTCTGAAAATAGTATTCCCTCTTTTGGAGTGTGATTTTCGGAAACATTGGATATGAGAGACGAATACCGTATTTTGAACGTTCATAATAAATATTGTTCTTTCAAACTGCAGATATAATTAACATAAACAGAAGTGTTCACTACAGGAAATAAATAAAATTAAATAGAACTGGCTTCACAGAAAACAAAAAAAAAACAAGTTTTCATCAGCCTTGACTACTTTGAAATAAATATTTCAGATCATTTAATACCAATGTTGAAAAAATAAAATTTTTATGGCAAATATCAGTAAGGTATTACTTGTGTGTACTTTCACAAAATTTATCATTGCTTTCAGGAAGCCAAAATAAACCAAAATAAAAAAAAAATGTATAACATTGATAGCGACAATACCCAAATGTTCAACATACATGGAATAATGTGCTTAGACTATCGATATCTCAACAAACATATATCTTCTCTCGTAAAACATAACCTCCTCAAAGGGTAGTTTGAGGAGGGCCTGATTCATTCCCTCCCACGTCTATCCCAGTTTGTCGTAGCCAGTGCCTCAGATTCCTTGTTCTCTCCACCAAAGTAGTCGTTGCCCCTTGATTTGCGTGAGTTACCACAGTACTCTGGGCATTGGCCAGCACGACGTGTTGTCGATAATTGTGCAAGCGATCCGCCAAAGTTGGGATGGAAGGCGGTGCGGGCAGACTCGTAGATCCGGCCAAAACTGGCCAGCCCAAATCTGGATAGACTAATGGGGGGATAACTGAAAATGAAAAGGTTAATTTTTGGGAAACAGAAGGTGTCACAACAAAACAAACGTTACTTGTGATGCACTGTTTGGAACCTTTGGTGTAGTAATGAATATTACTGGAGTTTTTTCCCAATACCAAACCGTTATTTTAACACCTCGATACGTGTTTCGATCACCAACTGATCATCTTCTCAAACTCACTTTGATCTACCTTTCGAAGATGATCACTTGGTGATCAAAACACGTGTTGAGGTGTTAAAATAACGGTTTGGAGTTGGAAAAAACTCTAGTAATAAGACAAATGATGTCCCGCCCCTTTCAACATAAGTAGGTAAAATATCAAGGTAGAACAAAACTGAAGTAAAAACAAATTTTGCCAAGAAAGGCAACAGTGTTTCACTCGCCCCAAATAGCTCTAGTAACATTTTTTCAAATAAGAAGAGGGTTTTATGACATCTCGTTTGATTGCTACTTCAGTTCTCTATTCGATAATAGTTAATTTTTGAAAACAATATGAGCTGCTTCTGAGTAACTATCAGTTTTACATTTCTTTTAATAATCTGTAAACAATCGATAAATATCATATTTTCATGAACAAAATGTATTCAAAACTAATTCCAGTTTATTCCAATAATTATTTAAAATGTGCATGAGCTATGAGCTCTGGAGTAAACCAGTTATATAACGTATATTTTAGATTCTCCAAAAACCAATATCAGAACTGAAGTAAAAAGATCATTTTCAGTATTTTTTGTCAAGAAAGGCAATAGTGTTTCACTCGCCCCAAAGGGCCCTATCAACAGTTTTTCACGTGGGAAGGGGGTCTTATAACATCTCATTTTCTGATTGATTCGGCCGTTACTTGATGAAGATCCATATTGATTTCAAAAACTAAACCTCACAATTTGATCTCCACGAACTTCATTTGAAAAATATATCACATGTTTCGCTGGCACAGTAGCTTTGTCAAGTGATTACTTGACGGCGAAACATGTTGTGATATAATTTTCAAATAAAGTTTGTGGAGATCAAATCGTGAGGTGTAGTTTTTGAAAAGAGACATCTCATTTGATTGTAACTTCAGTTCTCTATCCAATAATAGTTAATTTTCTGAAAATAAGATAAGCTGCTTCTGAGTAACTCCTCAGTTTCATATTTCTTTTAATAATTTGTAAACAAACGATAAATATCATATTTTCATAAAAAAAGTATTTGAAACTAATTTCAGTTCATTCCAATAATTATTCAAAATGTGCATGAGCTATGAGCTCTGGACCAGTTGTACCAATGTCAGGTTATTTAGCGGGCCCTTCTAAGCCTATCCAGCGGTTTGGCTAATAGTCATTTCACTTTCAAACCAGCATGTTGTGATTAGGAAGTATCTTGCTGAAAAATATCAGTTGAAAAATCATTGGAGATTGTACATTATCCAAATCAGTGGATAGATAAACGAGATTTTTTTTGTGGCATGCTGGATTACCAGATGTGACACCTCTAGAAGTTTCTGAGGAGAAATGTGTCACCTAAATTGTACAATACACATCTGTAGACATACCTCATTGATGTCAGGAAAAGAATGGTGAACATTCTGAAGATTTATGGGAATAAACTGGGGTGAGTTTCTTGATACGAATATCTAACTGCTAATTATTCCAAAGAATGTTGGATAGAGAAGTGAAGGACCTTTCAAATGATGTACTACAAGACATTTGAGAAAAAAGTTGGTAGCACCCTCTCAGCAACGAGTGATGCCTCACTATTCAAGGGGGAAATTCTACGTCTGCACTATACAGGGTGTTTTCTAACTACAGTACAAAACTTCAGAGGATGATTCGTTAGGTCGGTTTGAGAAAAAAAGTTCTCATGATCATATTATCGGAGTTGCTTCTTTTCTGAGATACAGGCCGTTACAGTTTAAAAAAAGCGGTATTTATAAAATATCACAAACATGTTTACATATTCGAAATTAAACTCACCTTGAGCTATGTTTGTCTGCTGCTGCTGTGTGCGTAACACATCCCAGATTTCCCTTATTTCCGAGTTCAAGTTTTCCAAACTTTGAATGATTTCTGACGACTCCTGCAATTTCTCCCTGTTCAGTACTATCTTTCCGTAATTATCTGCTGTGGCAAACTCTGTCGAACTAATCCCGGAGCTGGCGCTATGAGAAGAAATATCGCTCAGAGTAGTGTCTTCATTTTTTTGGTCATTTTGCATATTGGCCCGTTGGAGAGACTGTTCTAAATGTCGTAAACGTATTACTTTTTCACCAAGTAAACTTCTTGTTCTGTGTAGGTTGACTTCCATATCTGTGAGTTCCTTTTCTTCCTGGAAAGAGTAAATAAGAACGATTTTTCATTTTGTTGTATTGGAAAAAAACCTAACCTGACATAGTTGTTGTAGAGTATGTCTTGCCATCGTTCCATGTTTGAGCTTCAGTTCTTTTTGCCTTTGTTGAAACAAACTTTTCTGACTTCTCAAACTCTCTTTGGCTCTCTTTATGGAGTCCCTTTCGAGATGGATTCGATGACGAAAAAATTCCAATTCAGAACTCCCTTCAAATTTCTGTCCGTCTGAAAAAGGATACCGAAGATGGTAAGTGTCTGATTGGGGATTTTCTGGAAATTGATCCTCCAAATCTTCCAATTTCTGTAGTTGTCTTCTCAGATTCTCTACTGGGGAACAAGGTCTTTGAGGTTTTCGAGTTTTGGAATTGTTGTTTATCCTCGATGTTGAAGAGCTCTTTAGCCTAAAAATGTGGATTTTTCGAAAAAATCCAACTTCTTTTATACTTTCATAACATCTATTTAAAACTGCTCAATTTCAATTATTGTGGAAAACATTTATAATAAACAAACAATCAATTACCTCGAAAATATTTTTTTTCTGCTTCTGCCTGGATTCATACTCTCAGAGCTATCCTTATCATTTTGATTGGTTTTATCATCGCTTTGGTAACAATTGTCACTGATAGAAGTGTCTAATTCTTGAATGATAATTTGCTTAACGTTCTTCATTTCAACTTTTTTTTGAGTACCATCATGACTAGATCGATTCTGCTTTGGAGTTGGTGGTTTATCAAAGAATTGTCTGGAAGAAAATATTGAAAATACCAAATTGAAGAAGTAGCAGAAATCCAAAGCAAGCAATTTTTCCAAACACCAGAACTGCAATACTCTTCTCGAACAGTTTTTCACCAACCAAGTTGGCGTTTTCAGAAGATGAAGTAAACTTATTGTTCTACACAACTAACCCTTGATTACTAAGATAGTGTTATTAATTTTCACCAACTAACGGGTCGGTCCACTCACAAAATTTAAATTAGCTTCCATTGGGAAATATTGTTGTCAAAAGCAGTATGCAATGAATAAAATAATATATTTCCTGAAATGTGGAAGATTTCTAAAATACTGTCTCTTCCTAAAATATCTAATCCAAATACTCTTAACGATCTGCGCCCCATTAGTCTGCTACCTACTTGTTCAAAAGTATTGGAAAAATTAATGAGTTTTCAAATCAAATGCTTTTTAAATTCCTTTAATATTTCACCAGTCAACCAGTCAGGATTTCGTAAAGAACACAGCTGTACATTTGCTCTCTTGAAAATAACTGATGATATTTTCGAAGCTGCAGACAAAGGTAACACGACTGCTTTGATACTTATAGACTTCTCCAAAGCTTTTGATACTATTAGTTATCCAATTTTATTTGCAATTTTGAACTTCATCGGGTTCTCTGAACCTGCTTTGAATTTAATTAAAAGCTATGTTAAAGATCGTTCACAGTTTGTAGAAACTTCGAAGGGAAAATCAGACAGTGAATTTATTAAATTTGGAGTGCCTCAGGGATCTATACTTGGACCCTTATTATTTTGCATATACACTTGTGATCTAGTTTCTGTTTTAAGACATTGTAATTCACATATATATGCGGATGATACTCAACTATATCTATTATTTAACCCTAATGACGTTGCTACTGCTAATCAAAAATTGAATGAAGATTTAGCTCGTCTTATTTCAGCATCTGAAGCTAATAACCTCAAAATTAATTCAAACAAAACTAATCAGCTTGTTTTTGGTACTAATCGTAGCTTGGTGGAGAGACATATTAATATTGTTATTGGTGATACAGTAATATGCCCCACGAACGTGGCAAAAAATGTAGGTATCGAAATGGACGTGAATTTAAGGTTTACAAAACATGTCAGAAAATGTGTTCAAAGAAGTAACATGAGTTTGAAAATGCTTTATCCTCATCGTCATTAATTATCAATAAGTTTGAAAATAAAATTAACAAATCCTCTTGTGTTGAGTCATTTTGCATATTGTGATGTTGTGTATGGTTTATGCCTGGATAAAAAAGATATTTTAAGAATTGAGAGAGTTCAAAAATCATGTCTTAGGTATATATATGGTATTAGAAAATATGACAGAATTTCATATAAACTTAAGGAAACCAATTGGTTGACTATGGAAAATACACGTGTTTTACACTCGGCTACCCTCTTTCATAAAATGTTGATTAACAAATGTCCATCATTTTTGTATAACAAAATAAGATTTCGTAGCGATGTACACACTCTCTGCAGGGTATTACCTGCACCAACCAGCCATGAGACGCTCTCCAGACTCAGTCAGGTGGATGTTGAGAAGTATTTGCTGTGCATTCGTTGACATGCAATTGTTATGAATTTTTTGTTCACCATTGGCTCCCATACGGGTAATGATCTCAATGTTTTCAAAAAAAATAATGGTACATCACTAAAAATAACTTTTTGTTCAATTTGTGACAAACAATCTCTCTTTCGTATTGGTCGCCGTTTTTAGGCAAAAAAATATTGAACATCTTGCGGCATATTTTTTATTCATTGTCTAGTAGCAATGCTACGAAGGCGAAGGCTACTTCAACGAATACGAATATTTCAATGAAATGTCAAATTATCGTAAGTTAATACTGCACAAGTTACTACATCCTTTCGGTACAGATCTCACAACTAAGGATGGGGCCATCATTTAGGAAAACTCTCGCCTCCACAGGTGACATCTCACCGGGCAGAGATAATACCCTCTGCTCTGCAGAGCGATTTGAAGGGTATGTTTACAGTTTCAGGTGTTCAACTTGTTTAGTCATTTGATGAGAAGCATAAAAATTAGAATTGTTTTGTGTGTCTGGTAATTTTCTACTATCCAAAAAAATGTACAACAAAATTTGCATCAAATTTTGTGTAAAAAATGGAACTAATTTCTCAAAAACACTTGAAATGTTGACTGTGATATAAGATGATAGTACTCCTAGTCAGAAAAATGTTTACAAGTGGTATATCAACAACCCATGTAAATGTTGAAAAAGTGAAGAAAATTTTTGGGAAAGAAAGTTTTTGGCTTTCTACTACTCCATCTTGATACAAAAAAAAGGAAGAGGGAATCTTCCAAAGAAAGGAAGGAAGTAATCAATTTGAAAATAAGTAACTTTATATATGGATGTGTAGATCATGCCAAGAGGTAACTTTCAGAAAGTCCTCCTGAAACAGCTACTTTCATATAAACATTGAATTACACGAAAGAAAAAAAATTCTTTCGAAACAAATACTTCTATATGAACACTGAATTATACAGAAGATACCTTTCTCTATTCAGTTTGCATTTCAAACATTCGTTGTGGAATAAAAATCAGATATCATTCACATGAGTTCTACTTTGAATGAATGGTAACAAATTGCACTTACATGGAACACTGTCATCCTCACTGGTATACATCGATGTTTCGCCTTAAGACACTTGCCCTAAGGCTCTTCAGTACCAAATTGGATAACATCAAATAGGTGAATAAATGTCATTACGATGTCATCGATGACATAAGCAGATCAAGCTTATTCCGTGACATTAAAAATCGCAATTCATGAATGAAGGTGTGTATTTTCTATAATGTTATTCAAGTATCGTCTGTATAATTCAGTGTTCATATAGAAGTATTTGTTTCGAAATAATTTTTTTCTTTCGTGTAATTCAATGTTTATATGAAAGTAGCTGTTTCAAAAGGACTTTCTTTCAGTTTGTGTCTGAAAGTTACTTCTTTGCATGATCTACACATCCATGTATAGAGTTACTTATTTTCAAATTGATTACTTCCTTCCTTTCTTTGGAAGATTCCCTCATCCTTTTTTTTTGTATCAAGATGGAGTAGTAAAAAGCCAAAAACTTTCTTTTCCAAAAATTAATGACTCCTAAAAATATAACCCATTCAATTCGAATGAAAAAAATTGTTATGGAGAATCGTCGAATCACTATAAGAGAAATATTGCTGAGGATGTCGGCATATTGGTTGGCCCCTGTCATGCAATTTTTTTGTAAATTTTGGGCATCAAGCGTGCGGCAGCGAAGTTCGTTCCAAAATTGCTGAATTTTAATCAAAAATACCGTCAAATGAGCATCGCTCAGAAATTGTTGAATGACGTCAACAGCGATCCAGATTTGCTTGAAAGGGTCGGTCATAAGTGACAACAAATCAATGCGTATGTGGTTATGACATCGAAACCAAAGTCCTATAGTCACTATGGAAAAGCCCAGGACAGCCAAAACCAAAAGAGCACGCCATGTTCGACCAAATGTCAAGGTTTTGCTCACTGTTTTCTACGATCACCATAGTGCATCAGGAATTCTTGCCGTACAGTCGTACAGTCAATATGAAGGACGTGTATTATCTTGACTCTATGCGCCGCTCGCGAGAAGCAATACGAAGAAAACGTCCAGACTCTGGAAAACAATTAATGGCTTTTGTATCACGAAAATGCACCTCTGATCACTTCTCATTGCTTGTTCGTAATTTTTTGGCCAAAAACAATAATATAATTGTGCCTCAGCCACCTTATTCACCAGCCCCGTGCGACTTTTTCCTGTTCCCAAGATTGAAGAGACCCATGAAAGGACGGTGTTTTGTAACGAGGATTGGAAAAAACGCTGGCATTAGTGTATGATATCTGAGGGGGACTATTTTGAAGAAGACAAAATGATAAAGAAAAAATCACTTACCTATCTTTATTATTTGAGTTACTCTGTTCTGTTTCTGAGCCAGTAGTATTCGTTGTAGCAGTACTTTGTTCTTTTCTTCTATTCTTCTTTTCATTTAACATCTTGACTTCAGTTTTCAACTTGAGATATTTTTCCTTCAAACATCTATATTTGTCTTCCAGTAATCTCTTTTCACACCTCAATTTTTCGTATGTCCTTTCATCGCAAACACTTTTGCCTTTCTCTTGGTCCTGTTCGTTTTTGAACTTGACCTTCAGTTCAGTCATTTTTGTCTGATGCTCCTTTCTCAATATTTGTTCCTAAATGTACATGAAATCAAAAATATGTACAGAATATATAAATAAGAAAATTATAAATAGGGAACCACTGAAGAACGAATGTGTCTTGTTTATAATATTTGAAAATTTCATAATGTTTATTTCTCAATAACTCTTGTATCAAATTTAATTGTATACATTCCATCGCAATAAATTAAATTATTGTACTTCACTTTATATTGAAAATTTTGTTATAAACATTTAAGAACTTGTGAATCATTACAAAATATGATTCATGATTAAACAGGTTATAAAAAAAAATTTTTTAGGTATAAGAGCACTCTTAACAAGTCTGTCTGAGCTATCATATTTAACAGTACAAATCCATACATTTTTGGTTATTACACAATCGAAAATTGATGTATAATAGATTTGAAAAATTATAATTATATTATACTTATTACCTTTTAATGTATATTTCAACATTCTATAATGTTTAAAGTGGAATTCTAAGGATGCATTACTGTGTGTAAGAGGTAGGTCTGAGAAATCAGATTCATAATAAGCTGTTACTTTTATGTTGTGTCAGAGCAATTGTAACAATAGTAATTGAAAATGATATATGTCATAAATAAAAATAACCAAGGAAAGCTGATGCCTTGCATTTTTAATGTAGGACTGTGACACAATTAATTTTGAAAGTATCAAAAGTCATTTTCACACCACGAAAACTCGGTTGAATTTGGTTTAAATTTATCGAATTCAATTACCTTATATAATGAAATATCACTTTGAAGTCATGTTATTGTCTTTACTACAGAATTTTCAATAAAAGAATCAATCAAATTTATATTTCCGACTAGATGCCCAACTTGGCATGAATGGTTAAACTAAAATGAATTTAATAAAAAAAGTTACCTCTGCTTGAAACTCCTTCTTGAGTTCTTCAATGATTATCGAATGATTTTGTTTCAGCTGTTCAATATCGGCATTGTGATTGAAAATCAGCTCGTCTCTATTCTTCTCTACCCGTTCAGCTAACTCCTTTTCCGTTTCGACAAGTTTTTCCTCATAGTATTTCTCTAGCTCCTCTTTTTTCGCCTCAATACTTATTTTCATTCTTTCTTCCTCTTCCTTGAACTCGGTCTCCAAATCATTTTTCAGAACTGACAAACGCTCTTCCATCTTATTCCTCTCTTCCTTCATTAATTGCTCATGGTTTTTGTTTATTTCTTCTTTCAATTTCTCTATCTCAGCTTTTTTAATTTCTTCTTGGTTAGATTGCTCTTCCATTAAAATCCTTTTCAGTTCTTGTTTGTGAGAATTCTCTAGGTCTAATTTATATTTGCTCATTTCTTCATTTTTTTCCTCCCAAATATCCAACTTCAGCTTCTCTAGTTTCTTTTCAACTTTTTCCTGGAGTTTTCTTGATTTCTCAGTTAATTTTTCACTTGGGCTGGAATCAGAGTTGTCTGTATCGAAAAATGCTTCTGGATTGACGATTCCTTGTTTTTCAATGCTTCTGGTGTCTTCATCCGAATCTGAACTTTTGTTTAGGGTCAGTTTCGGTTTGATGAAATCTTTCGGGTTGGGTTTGACAACTTTCAAAGAATTGTTCACTTTTACAGGTTCTAAGACAGGATTTACAGTAAACCTGCTTTTACTAGGAGTAACTTTCACATTGATTACTTCCTCCGGTTTATTTTTGTCGCTATTTATGATCTCTTCCTCACTTGAGCTCTTATCAGAAAATGTGATACCAATATCAGTATTGTTGTCCAAGTTGAATCTCACACTTTTTTTATCGTCATCGTCTTTTTCTGATTTATCAAAAGTGGTTAATTTGTCGAATTCTAAACTTTTGGAATGTTCTATACTATTCTTTTCTCTTAATATACTTCTTGGTTGTTGAGAATCTAGAATTTTCACAAAAAATAATTCAACACAGGTTAAGAAGCCCACTTAAACCCAGAAAACAAATTGAAAAAATATGTAATAACTATGTGACAGAGATAACAATTATGTGCCTATGCCAGGCTTTAGTTTTTTTAACAAAGTGAAATCATCTGTGCCCATCAGTTTCGGGGCATAAATGGAAATGAGGTACTAATGCAACTCATATAGGTCGACACAAAATTCTAAAACTAACTGAATGTTTTTAAACTCTCCATAAAGTTTGAAAATAGAAAACTTGTTTGGATATTATTTTCAAATATCCACATCTCAGCATATTAGGTACTCAGACCATGCCAAGACGATAAAATTAAAAATGATGTAATTGTTTGCGTCAATCAGTGCTAACATAATTATTTTATTGACTGGTATCAAGCAAATCATATAAAAGAGTTTCATTTTTCCATCAATTTGGTTTGTTCGCAAAATTTACAAATACAACAATTTACCAACTATTTCAGACTCTTCGAAGGTTTATATTGTGCAGTAACTTTTTGGCTGAACTTTTTAGTTTGTCATTTGTTAAACTTGAGCAAAATTTCTATTGATTTCTAGATTTATTTATTTTTCAGATTGTGGAAGGTTAAAAGTTCAGAAAACATTGAGGTTTTCTATTGTTTATTTTTATATTATTGTTTATTGTATGCATTATTTATGTGTCTTTCGAATATATCGATTTTCCTTTAAAAAAATATACCTTGAGAAAAAATTGTTGGAAAAAATGATAAAAATGTATGTATTTATTGCATAATTGTACAAAATAGGTTTCAGATAGAAATGAAGCTAAGTGATTTGATTTCTTGGTGTTCCGGTTGATGTCACGTTTTTCATGATTCAATGAAACTTTTAGAAATTATTCGAAAGCTGAATAATGAACGATAGATGTGAGTAGAAAAGGTTTTATTAAAGATTCTTGAAACAAAAATATGTATATGTATGAAAATATCACACTCAATGTGTAAATTATTTTCAAATATATAATAGGAATTGTTTTTCACACTCAGTAAATTGGCATGCTTCATAGAAAAATAAAATAATCTACCAACATAAGTGAAAATTTCCAGGGTTCTTTCACAAAGCAAGTGGTGGTCTATAATAACGTCATGTGAAAGAACATCTTGTGGCAAGCAATTGGTTCGATAAATAAATTTAACCACGTGACTTGTGGTGCTATCCAAAATAATGTAACCATAACTGCGATTTTGACTTTTCATGGCAATGAACATGTGTGCTCAGTCAGTGTTTTATGTCAGTGAAAATAATTATATTTTTAATTCACCCTGTAACGCCTCCAATTTTCCTGTTGGTGGACTGAGCACTGCATCACTAGACTTCCTCATCGTATTCGACTTCAGAAACATACTACCCCCTCCAGAGACTTTGAGCTCGGTTTTATTATCCAAACTCCTTGGATGTTTATCGAAAGATCCGTCTTCATCTAAACTGCTGAAACCCAGCGACAATTTTTTAGTTCCCACAGCAAAATCCTCAGATTTCTGTTTGAATAGCTTCAGTTCTCTCTTGGGACTTGCGCTTGGACTCATTTTCAGAGGTGAGAGTTTTATGTCTTTTTTTCTTGCACCTAGAATAAAATTACAATGAAGAGCAACAGAAAAATAACGTATTCAGAGAACACGCCTGAAGATGCTATTGTATAGCGAAAAAAGTGTCAAGTGGAAATATCATATTAAAGTGTTTTTTGAATACTTGATCAAGTATGGCCAGTTCCAAAATAATGGAAAGTTAGTGAGATAAGATTTATCAATTATATATTAAACAGGGTGTTTTCAAAGATGAAAACTTCATTGAATTAATTGTTGATGAAATATTGGATTACGAAAAATTGGACACGACAGCAGAACCTTCAATCATGTGAAAAGTGAACAGAGAAAAAGGCTAAATACATCATATTTTACAAGTAGATCTGTGTTTGGAATGGAAAATCGCCCATTTGTCTTTAATAGTGCAGCTGTTTTCCTGGAATATACCTCTAAGTAAACACTGGCAAGCAGAAGAAGGCGAAATTTATAAACTTCAATAACTCCACGTAGGCATGAAGGTGTAACAATTTATCATAAGAATTTTCTTAAATGTAACACATTACAATGTTGCAAGGAGCTCTGGGACTATTATAATTGTGATAGCATTATATCGAACTTCAAACAGTAAATATTTTTAACAAACTTTTCAGAACTTCCAGATGATTTTTTTACAGAAAATGATTATTTGTTGAGGCGATTTTAAAATTGATTTCAGTGCTAACTCTATACTAGCACGTAAATTATCATAAATTTTCAACTGTCATGATATATTTCACCTTTTTTGTCAGAAATTTTTGGACTTCAAATTGAAAATATAAAGATATACAGTGTGTCAATTTGAAAACTTCCCACCCTCAATATCTCCCTTCCAGTACATAATATGAAAAAATGGTCAGACAGGTCAACTTTATTTGCAAGGGGGACACTCTGAATGAATATTTTCAACCCTCGGGGTTCAACCCCCTAGGAGGGGTGGATGTTACCCTCAGAATTTCAAATGGAAAGGGGGGTCAAGTGGCACATCATTTTGAAGGGCATTCAATTC